CTTGTCAGTCTTAGTTACTGTGGACTTTACGATTCGTCTATTTTGTTTTGGTACTTTAATTAAATAAAGTCTATCATGTTCGCTCAACGCGCTGCGCTTTGGTCTCCCTCATTTGACGATCGTGACAATCGGTAGGACTGGTGGAGTTATGTCGCACATGCAGCTAACAAAAACATATGGAAATGTCTGCTCTACCCAAAATTACAACCAAATAATTGCAGCCTTACCGCAAAAGTGGAAGAGGAAAGTGGAAGGGGGAGAAAGTAAGGAACTTGTCTGTCGGCCTTGCATTAAAGAACATAATTGATTAAGGAAAACTGTGATAAATAAAAAAGTATATCAGTTTCACTTAAGGACCAAAGGATTGACAGCCGTCCCATATAGATTGCAAAATAGTTGGGAAGAGATCTTTGACGTACCGATCCCATGGCATAGTGTTTATGAACTGACACGCAAAACGACACCGGATTAAAAAATTAGAATCTTACAATTTAAATTATTATATAAAATTCTTGCTACAAATAGAATGTTATTTATATGGGGGATACAATCTTCCCAGCTCTGCAGATTTTGCTGTGAAGAGACAGAATCATTAGATCATTTGTTTTGGTTCTGTCCATTTGTAGCTTGTTTTTGGACACAGGTCCAGGAATGGCTAAAGGATTGCAATATTTACCTGGAACTAACCTTGCAGATAGCATTACTGGGTGATCTGAAAAGTCATAGTCAATCAATCAATAATATAATAATACTTTTAGCAAAGAAATATATTTTCAATTTACAATCTGTAGAAACAATGAGAATAGAAAGGTTCAGAACTTTTGTAAAACATAACAGTACAGTTGAATAATATATGGCAAATAGAAATCCAATATGGATGGTGTTAAATGAAGTTGAAGGATGGGACTAATAACAACTAACAACAACTAATAACAACAAGATAACTAATAATGTAAAGCATACTGTGTCCATAATAAGTATTTAGGTTATTGTTATGTGAATTATTTAACAAACTATTTTAGTGTCTCTGTGCATCTCCCAAAAGGTTGTAAGTCTTTTGGGATTTAAGTAACGGCCAGAGTCCCGGTCTGCATAGTCAGAGATATTTATTCATTGAGAATTCTGCCATCACAATTTCAGAGTCCATCTTTTATACTCATACGTCATACAAAAATAAATCCCTTTCCTCTGTAGGCGGGCTGTAGTTTTCCACTCTAAAACTGCTCTACTGACTTTCAGTTCACACACATATACACACATGCATACACACATACATACACACACACACACACACATATCCTACTCCCTGCTTTACTCAGTTATTGCCATTCTCACAATATTCTGCACCATGTTTTCATAACAGTTTCTCCCCTCCCTAAATTGGGAGGCCTCTTTATCTTAGTTTCTCAGTTGTCTTTGTTGTCTGGCCTAACTCTTACTCACATTGCTAAATAGTGGCTCAATGCCATAGCCTTTACTGGTCCTACACTCACACATTTCTAACACATTATACACAGTTTCAGGGTGTAATAATTAGTCATTAATAATTAATCTATCAGTTATAGATTGAGAGCTTTTGTGAAAGAGCACAGTTAGAAAGATATGGCATATAGAAGCAAACCGGATGGACATCATGAAAATGATCGGAGAGGATGAGGGTAGAGGAAGTTCAGGAGTAAAAACAAAATATAATTATTGTAAAATTGACTGTCCATAAAATGTATATAGCATGTATAAGCTGGAAGTAGAGCCCTAAGCATTGTTGTTCACTAGTTTTACTCCAATTAGGGAAGGGGTGGTGGGGTTGGAAAGTAATAAAGGGAAATATATTTTTTTTAAGGATGTGTGTATGTATGTATGTATGTATATATATTTGCGAGAAAAAAAAACATATGGGGGATTGGAAGTGATGCAGACAATTACATTGATGGAAGTTACAATCTATCTGCAATATTAAAGCTGATCTACTCCCTAAAAAAAAGAAAACTAAAATAAATAAATAAATATGTTCTATGGGTGTCACCTCATTACGCTGCCTTATGCTCAAAAAAGTGATGTGCCTATAAACGTTGACTACAATCAATCAAACACATTCAATAAAACATCAGGTTTGGGTCAAATCCAATACAACACATCACAGAGGTGGCAGCAGCTGAGACTGGGGAGTTTTTCAGGATCAAAATAAATATGAAAAAAGTTAAAGTAAAACCTGCCTCAGTCTTCTATTACCTAACCCTAGGATTAGAGTTGCAAAGGGAGGGTATATTACTGGAAACTTTTTAAGTTTACCAGTAAACTACCAGAATTGGTATCATTCAAGGATTGTATGTAATCGATCACAATACATTAAGTGGCCCTTTTGGGTACTTCAGGTGTCTGAAATTATCTCTGGCCCTCTGTGTGGCCTTATCACATGTAAAATATATGACAAGATTAAATAAGATTATAATCCTAAATATAAACCATTTAATTTAGTGAATATGTGGTAAGGAGCCTTGGCAAGCCAGAACAGCTCATAGGGCAGGAGCCTATGTCCTGTAGCGTGAGGCAGCTTGATGTACAAGTACAGTGGCTAGCGAAAGTATTCACCCTCCTTGTCATTTTTCCTATTGTGTTGCCTTACAACCTGGAATTAAAATTGTTTTTTTGTATAATTTGATTTACACAACATGCCTACCACTTTGAAGATGCAAAATATTTTTTGGTGCGAAACTATTCACCCCCCCTATTCCAAGACATTTAAATGTTTCCCCTTAAACCAATTGAGTGTTGCTTTAGCAGTATGCTTAGGGTCATTGTCCTGCTGGAAGATGAATCTCCTTCCCAGTCTCAAATCTCTGGAAGACTGAAACAGGTTTCCCTCAAGCATTTCCCTGTATTTAGAGCCATCCATCATTCCTTCAATTCTGACCAGTTTCCCAGTCCCTGCCGATGAAAAACATCCCCACAGCATGATGCTGCAACCACCATGCTTCACTGTGGGGATGGTGTTCTCAGGGTGATGAGAGGTGTTGGGTTTGCGCAAGACATAGCGTTTTCCTTGATGGCCAAAAAGCTCAATTTTAGTCTCATCTGACCAGAGTACCTTCTTCCATATGTTTGGGGAGTCTCCCACATGCCTTTTGGTGAACACCAAACATGTTTGCTTATTATTTTCTTAAAGCAGTGTCTTTTTTCTGGCCACTCTTCCGTAAAGCCCAGCTCTGTGGAGTGTACGGCTTAATGTGGTCCTATGGACAGATACTCCAGTCTCCGCTGTGGAGCTTTGCAGCTCCTTCAGGGTTATCTTAGGTCTTTTTGTTGCCGCTCTGATTAATGCCCTCCTTACCTGGTCCGTTAGTTTTGGTGGGCGGCCCTCTCTTGGCAGGTTTGTTGTGGTGCCATATTCTTTAAAAAAAAATTATAATGGATTTAATGGTGCTCCGTGGGAAGTTTCAGATATTTTTTTATAACCCAACCCTGATCTGTACTTCTCCACGACTTTGTCCCTGACCTGTTTGGAGAGCTCTTTGGTCTTCATGGTGCCACTTGCTTGGTGGTGCCCCTTGCTTAGTGGTGTTGCAGACTCTGGGGCCTTTCAGAACAGGTGTATATATACTGAGATCATGTGACACTTAGATTGCACACAGATGGACTTTATTTTTAATTTTTTTCACTTCACCAATTTGGACTATTTTGTGTATGCCCATTACATGAAATCCAAATAAAAATCATTTTAAATTACAGGTTGTAATGCAACAAAATAGGAAAAACACCATGGGGGATGAATACTTTTGCAAGGCACTGTAAATCCCCTAGACAGGATGCAAGTTTATCGCAGGGCCTTAACCCCGATTATATTTCCTTAATGCTGAGTGCAGAGATTCATCAGATCCCATTTTCACAGTCTTTGGTATGACTCAGCCAGGGATTGAACTCACAACCTTTCAATCTCAGGGCGGACACTCTAACAACAAGGCCACTGAGTTGGTTAATATGTGGGGGTAAGCATAATATCCTTTTATTTATTGTACTATGTCAATATGTATTTGTTGCCAATGTTTTGGCGTCAAACTGGTGGCAGTTGTCAAGAAAAGTCAATAGTTGGAAGAGTTGCAGAGTTCATTGAAAATAATGCATTTGTTGATTAGATGCTTTTTTCATTAATTAGGCAATTTGTTCTTGAACATAGGGTATATCTACTAGAAACTCATGGACAATATTATATATTTTTAAAGTTATTCAAGAATAAATTACCAAAGTTACGATAGATTGCAATATATTTTCTGTTAATTACCAAAATTACTGAAGATTCTAATTGAACTTCAGTCTGGTCATATACACACATCTTATCGACCAGTAACTTTGGAAATTACCTGTAGCTTTGCAACCCAACCTGGGATAGAGTTTTATTCAAACCTGGGTTCTAATAGTTTCATTTTCCTTTGCGATACTTTGTTTGTACTTTTGTGACTACTTCATTAGTCCCCTTACGCCAGGAAAGCTCAATCAAGCAAAGCATAAGTATTAGAAAGAAAACAAACCCATACTAATTGAACTTCAGTCTGGTCATATACACACATCTTATCGACCACTACTCTCACATACTAAGGAAAAGGTAAAGCGTTTGTGATTCACATAACTCAACACTGCAGTGGCTGCTGAAATGGAAAGGAACTGAACTCAAAATAAATTGAGAATATCTGGTTCAATAGTGTAGTAATCGCTTCCCAGCATCAGAGGGTGTCTGTGAAGAGTTGGTTATGGTCTGGGCTTTAATCTGGGATTTACGGATTCATTTCTATCCAATTAAATCATTTCTGCAAGTGACACATCAACATCAGCGCCACTTTCAGCTCAATGAACTATTTCTCATTCTCACTAAAAGTTACAGGGGGTTGCCAGGTTGAGCTCCGGGTTACCAGGTTGGGTCCTGGTGAGTTGCCAGGTTGAGGGTGAGAGTGAGGGAAGGAATGGTTTGTTTGAACTGAGTCTCACAGAGGAGATTGGTTGGTTGGTTCTCAGTGCTCTGAGACGGCTGCCAGGTTAGGCTCAGTGGCTAGTGGGCTTCCAGCAGGCTCTCCCAGGATGTTGACACTGGAGACGGACCACACATCACTCATCTCTGTCAGGGGGATGAGGTTAGGGGTTGACAAAGGTCATTATCATTCATACATATGTAATAATGATTAATTAAGTAATATATTTAATACATTGTCTTTTTAATTTCAACCAATCTCTTTTCTAAGCCTATATAGCAGGGTTCCCCAACTGGCGGCCCACGAGCGGAATTTGACCCGCAAGTGATTTTTATTTGTCCCCCCAAGTTTTCTGAGCAAAAATAATAATAGTAATTTATTTATTTTTATTGATGGACATAAAAGACTCCAAGTGATTTGAATTTTGGAAATCTGTTCCAAGGTATTCCAACGCATAATAGAGAGATATATGCTATGTGATTGTATACAAACGTAAGCAAGGTTTGAAATTATTTTAGTTAGTCAAATATTATATCTGTTTGCAAATTGACCGCAAGAAGCCCAGTCTACATATTATTTGTAATTATGTTCCGGCACCCTGACCATCCATTCAAGAAAAAATCAGCCAGCCGCTGAATCTAATTGATGATCCCTGCTATATAGGTTAGTGCGTGCATGTGTACAGTGGGGGAAAAAAGTATTTAGTCAGCCACCAATTGTGCAAGCTCTCCCACTTAAAAAGATGAGAGAGGCCTGTAATTTTCATCATAGGTACACGTCAACTATGACAGACAAAATGAGAATAAAAATCCAGAAAATCACATTGTAGGATTTTTAATTAATTTATTTGCAAATTATGGTGGAAAATAAGTATTTGGTCACCTACAAACAAGCAAGATTTCTGGCTCTCACAGACCTGTAACTTCTTCTTTAAGAGGCTCCTCTGTCCTCCACTTGTTACCTGTATTAATGGCACCTGTTTGAACTTGTTATCAGTATAAAAGACACCTGTCCACAACCTCAAACAGTCACACTCCAAACTCCACTATGGCCAAGACCAAAGAGCTGTCAAAGGACACCAGAAACAAAATTGTAGACCTGCACCAGGCTGGGAAGACTGAATCTGCGATAGGTAAGCAGCTTGGTTTGAAGAAATCAACTGTGGGAGCAATTATTAGGAAATGGAAGACATACAAGACCACTGATAATCTCCCTCGATCTGGGGCTCCACGCAAGATCTCACCCTGTGGGGTCAAAATGATCACAAGAACGGTGAGCAAAAATCCCAGAACCACACGGGGGGACCTAGTGAATGACCTGCAGAGAGCTCGGACCAAAGTAACAAAGCCTACCATCAGTAACACACTACGCCGCCAGGGACTCAAATCCTGCAGTGCCAGACGTGTCCCCCTGCTTAAGCCAGTACATGTCCAGGCCCGTCTGAAGTTTGCTAGAGTGCATTTGGATGATCCAGAAGAGGATTGGGAGAATGTCATATGGTCAGATGAAACCAAAATAGAACTTTTTGGTAAAAACTCAACTTGTCGTGTTTGGAGGACAAAGAATGCTGAGTTGCATCCAAAGAACACCATACCTACTGTGAAGCATGTGGGTGGAAACATCATGCTTTGGGGCTGTTTTTTTGCAAAGGGACCAGGACGACTGATCCGTGTAAAGGAAAGAATGAATGGGGCCATGTATCATGAGATTTTGAGTGAAAACCTCCTTCCATCAGCAAGGGCATTGAAGATGAAACGTGGCTGGGTCTTTCAGCATGACAATGATCCCAAACACACCCGCCCGGGCAACGAAGGAGTGGCTTCGTAAGAACCATTTCAAGGTCCTGGAGTGGCCTAGCCAGTCTCCAGATCTCAACCCCATAGAAAATCTTTGGAGGGAGTTGAAAGTCCGTGTTACCCAGCGACAACCCCAAAACATCACTGCTCTAGAGAAGATCTGCATGGAGGAATGGGCCAAAATACCAGCAACAGTGTGTGAAAACCTTGTGAAGACTTACAGAAAACGTTTGACCTGTGTCATTGCCAACAAAGGGTATATAACAAAGTATTGAGAAACTTTTGTTATTGACCAAATACTTATTTTCCACCATAATTTGCAAATAAATTCATTAAAAATCCTACAATGTGATTTTCTGGATTTTTTTTTTCTCATTTTGTCTGTCATAGTTGACGTGTACCTATGATGAAAATTACAGGCCTCTCTCATCTTTTTAAGTGGGAGAACTTGCACAATTGGTGGCTGACTAAATACTTTTTTCCCCCACTGTACATGTATCTCATATGTTACCAAAGCTAGCCATGGAGCAGAGACTGGGTAACTCCTACCAACACCCTCTAACTCACCTGTCCTGAACTTGCTGTAGGTGGCGTGTTTCTAGTGTGGGTTTGCTGCCCGAACAGAAAGCCAAGCCTCGTTCTCGCCACCTGTCACCAACACAGTTACAGTCATCGCTACAAGCAGTGACACGACAGGAAGGGACACTACAGGAAGTGACATCACCGTTAAATCCAAAACAGACTGACCTTCATCCGAAGCTTCAATTTCACTCACATAACCAATCTACGTTTTTTATGTAGGCATATTAAAAGGCAACTTACGACGACCCTCGTTCTCTGTATTCTAGTGGGCTCACTCACCAGTGGAAGATGAAGATGATGAGGATTAGGATGAAGGACACCACGTCGGTGAGGACCCACATTAGATTGTACTCATCTGGAGTCTGAGAGAGAAAGACAGACAACCATTGTCTCTAGGTGTATTACCTTCACCAATCCAACCAATTTTAGATCTGTGATACTTCAAGGAAGATAGGATATAGGCTGCATTTGGGCCCTGTATCCTAATAATCGGTCCTTTCTCCCAAAGTGTGCACTTGTTCACTTCCCTTCATGGATTTGAAAGAAAATGACTGGAAAAATAAATACCTGTATGATGGAAACTCTCTCTAGCTCATGCCTACACCAAATACAATGTTTTTACATTTGTGGAGAGTAGTGAACAAGTGCACACTTCCTGTGAAAAGAGAGATTATTGGGATGCAGAAGTATTTGTCCCGGGTTGTTGTTGTTCTCACCATGAGGAAGAGGGGTCTGGTGAGTTTGTTGAGGAGCTGTGGGGCATTGGTGGTGACAGACTGAGCCCCGGCGCACCAGGCCAGAGAGTAGAGCCACGGCTGGCTGATCACATACAGGTTGGTGCTGATGTTAGCCGCTGCATACTCACTGGGGGAAGCATCACAAACACACAGACAGATAATGAACAAACACATACCCACTTAACGCACAGACACACACACAAACAAACACAGACACACCTGATCATCTCTGTAGACATGGAGCTGTAGTGCAGGTTGAGTTGGACGATGTGGTTCTGCTGCAGCTCCTCCACTGGACCCCGTGACCCTGAGGTCTGCTGGAGGTCAGGGTCCATCTCCTGGACCAGGCTCCGCAGGTCTGGCGGCAGCCACAGCACCTGACACACACACGCATTCACACAGAGACACACACACACAGACTAGAGGTCTTTACGGATCCACCTGTACCCGAATACCTGAGACCCGATCCGGGACCCGATTGTCACAGGTCTCGGGTAGGTGTAATTTTAACTGACTTGTCCAAACGCGACTGCTGCAGTAGAGCGAGAGAGAGAGAAATTGTATAATTTATGCTACTGCTCTTTGCTTTTCACGAGAGTGGAGCTTGTAGCTTGTTGTTGTTATTGGCCAATCATAAGTCATCAAAGAGGCAATAGGCTACAGTCATAGAGCCTCCGTGTGGGGCAAAAGTTATATAAAAGTCTATACGGAATGGTTCTAGTTGTCCTCGGGGCCGTATGGAACGGGTCTCTATATGTCAACATTTATTTATGCATTTCGGGTCCAGATGGGAAAGCCCCAGGTCCATTTCGGAACGGGTCCAACTTTTTGGACCCGTGAGGGGCCCTAACACAGACACAAAGTGAAGAAGTTTCCCCTAGTTGCAGATCTAGGATCTGCTTCCCATCCCCCAATCCTAACCTTAACCATTAGTGAGGAAAATGCAAAACTGAGATCAGCGTCTAGGGGCAATTTCACCCTACTCCTCTTTATAACATCGTCCCTCAGTGCCCTCACCTGGTGTGAGTGGATGGAGGACTCGTTCTGGATGAACTCAAGGGTGTGTGTGATCCAGGTGTCCCTGTAGGGGTGGCCCCGAGGGGGCCGGTAGAGGTCAAAGATCACCTGTTTGCCCCTCTGGGCCGCCAGCTCCAGGAAGTCCCTGAGGGAGCACACGGACTGGTTCTGTGCCTGCACCCTGTCCTCGGCACCCAGAGACCAGGCCGTGCCGAACGGGTCGCGCTGCAGAACCACCAGGGGGAGAGGGACAGTCAGTATACGGAATGCTTTGGCATAATGGCAAATCATATTGCATGGCGCAATGCAGGGGACAATGTAATATCACATTGTATTCTATAAAGTCGGTAGTTGTGCAATTGGAGTTGAGCAATTGATAACCTCCCAACCCCCATCGATAGTACTTTGGTGTAGTGACAAAATGTCTATCTTCTCTATCCATCATCTTATTATGTTGTCGTAACTACTTCCATTGGAGACAAACATGCCCTGGTTTCCCATCATACCATGTCCATGAAGCAAAATGATCATGATCTTTATTAAAAAGCAGTTCAAGACTAGGCTTATTTTACGTGACCCTAAGTCTTCCAGAGGTACTACCGCAGCGGCGGTTGGTGACTCACATAGAGGAACCAGGCCCCGGCGTTGAGGGTCTCCAGCTCCCCCAGGTGAACATGGCCGCAGGGGCGTCCGTCCGGTTGGGGAACACCTTATGCACGTTGGTTAGTCCTCCTCAGGGTGTGGTCGTGCATCAGGAAGGGCACCCCGTCGTAGCTACAGCAACGAGAGGAGGACATGGTAGTTACTGAGTTGATGATTATGGAGTTGACTGAAGTGCAGCACGATAACCCAGTCAAAGAGAGCCAGGTACTTTATCAATCCATCTATAATTTTTCAGGTATGTCAAAGTCTCCTTCAGTAAATGTTTTACTCCAATAAAAATGCCCAGGACTAGCATGGGAAAGAACCTGATGCCAATGGCTTGTTGATGATATGAGCTCACCAGCTATGTTGGGCTAACCTTGCATAGCAAGCTTGTTTCATAATACCACCACGACTGGTGAGATAGACTAATGTTGGTACATGCTTAGGTACACAAGATGGACAGGGTGTGAGGAGGGTGGACAACCACCATGACCTGATGGTGACGTCAGGTCTCCAGACCTTCCCCTCCAGCCTCCACTGCCTTCTTAAAGGACATGAGTGTGTTCTCTGGAGCAAGCTGGGATTTCACACACACAAATAATTTTAACATACAGTTACCCTAAACAGAGAGGTGCTACCAGCACGGGTGATAAATAGCAGGCATAAAGATCAGTTCAGCAAAACTAGCGCGTCTCACGATGGCTAATAACACAGCCCAAACGTTTTTTACTTTATACTGGCAACGCTTTTTTTTTATCTAACCACCACACTTTTCTACTACTACTACTACTACTGCTACTACTACTACTGTTAAAAACCCTCCCTCCTTAACCCTGGGGCCCTGGGAGAGACACAAACTTTGTAGCTTTTTACTGATGGAGGTAGGCTACCATCCCCCCGCCTCAGCCTGGACTATTGTTCAGTGGCATAGGGCACTTCACACCTATGTGTTAGGGACCAGTTTGCAAGGGAACTCAGTCAGCTGACCAAGGCCAGCCAATCACAGGCTCCACCTGCTGGGTAACAGACCCCCATTCCTGCTTGTGCTTGAGTTTGTTTCTAGGAGGGCAGGTTGAGAAGGTGCTCTGTAAACTCCTGTCCTCCACTACATCTCATTACTGGGACCTTTCCTGATGGACAAGCATTCCCTGGACTTCCCCAACCCTGTGTTAGTGTGTCACTGAACATGTAAGTGGACTTTGTTAGGGTCCATGTGTGTATTTGATCTGATAATGTATAGGCTGCTATTCTGACCTACTAAGCAAAAGAGCAGTAACTGCTCAGAGTGAAACTGAGAGAAATGACTTCAACGTTTTCTATTGTCAGCCAATGAATGTGGCAGACATTCTGGTATGGCACTGATAACAATGA